CTGCGCGGGGCCGCCCCGGGCACCATCCCGCAGCAGGTGGATTTCTATTCCCGCTTCTCCCCCTCGCCGCTCTCCATGAAGCAGTTTCTGGACTTCGGTGAGTCCGTGCCGGGCCGCACTCCCCGCGCTGCCCCTGCTCCCGCAGGTGCCTGTGAGGAGCGGGGCGGCTCCGGCCGCGACCCTCCACCGTCAGCGCTGCCCGCTGTTGCTTATCCCATGTTGGTGCCGCGCTCTCTGGCACAGAAAGGCCCTGCTTCCTTCTGGGACAAGGGAGCCCAGTTGGCGCCTTCCCGGAGACTGGAAGCGTGACAAGGTGGAAATTCAGCTGAAAACTCCAGTTTTTGGCACCACCAGAGTAGCTGGGCGTCTTCATGCAGAAACTGCAGGGCAGAGGGTGGGGACGGCTGGTAGTGTCAGAGCAGTGACTCAGGTGAGACTGGTTAAGCCTTCTGCAAGCTGGCAGCGTGTGACCTTTTAAGGTATATTCCAAACACAGGAAACACCTAACCTCAGATGGCACCGAGGGGCTGGAACAATCATCACTTCTGAGTCGCATGTCTGTGCCCTACAGAAACACCTTACCCAAAATTTGGTGGTAGAAGGAGCAGGGTGCGGAGACCAAAAGCCATCCTAGAGGATTCGGAATCTAGCGCTGAAAATGAGCAGATCAGTAACAGGATACTCAGTCTTATATTCTTCACTAAAACCACTCATAATGCTTCCAGGTTTGACTGTGTGCTTGGAAACAAAAGGGATCACAGCAATTGTTCTGTTCTGCTTCAAAGCAAAGACCACACAGGGAAAGGTTGTGTAAGTCTCACTATAAGTGCCTTTCTGTATCCTGTGCACTCTGGTGCACATAAACGCTTACATAAGTATTGCATATAAGCATTTAACTAGTTAATAGTTGCATTGCTTTTTACATTTTTGTAAGTAAAACATAACTGAGAACTAGTCATAGAGCCCCAGACTTTGTGTAAGTAGGAAGACTTACAAAGAAAACTTTCTCTTAACTGTCTACTGTCACTTCATCCGTCTATTCAACGTTTCATTTGTGGCAATGAAATGTATCCAACATATAAACTCTGGATTCATACAGGAACCCCACCCGATGTTCTGTTGCTACCATACTTTTAAGCAAAGAATCTCGTAATTCAGAGTTTGCTCTGACCTGTATTATTTTACCACTAAATACTGATAAAGTAATTCTTACCTTAAAATCAGTGTTTATTTTCAAGGCACACTATTCCCTTGTGTCAAAAGATAGACTACTTTTTTACTGTTAGTTACCTGAACATAAGGTAAAAATAATTTTGAAAATGTTTAATTTTTTTTCCTCTCCTTTGCTTAAGGATTTAATCACAGATAGTGAAAAACTAATAACAAAGGCAAAAAAGAGAGTAGAGTGCAAGACTGAGACAAGTCTTTAAGACATTCTGTAGCCATTATAATCTGATGATGTTTTCATTAGGGATTTTTTTGTCTCCTTTTGCTCTAGGGAGAGCATTCAAAGAGGAAATAAATCTGGTAATGCTAACTTAAAAAAATGAAATATTCCATAAGCAAATTTAGGTCTGGCTCATATACATCAGTCATATCTTGATTTTCAAGCCTGCAGTATTTTTTCTAGGAGTCTTATCTGTTCTTTGCCTAGCCAGACTGTAGCTGCACAGGGAAAGACTCATTTGTCCATTCAGCAAAGTCCTGCCCTAAACTGCCTTCCCTATTTGACCCAGGATTGCAAAAAGGCAACCTCCAGATACAAAAACTATTTTGTGGAGTGTAATTTGCTGAGTATATGAGGCATTTAAAGATTATATTTATGTTCTAATACCTTCAGTCTGACTTGTTTGTGGAATTTTACCCAAGAAAAGGGAAAGGGCAGTAACAGTCATGCCTGAAATGCAATCTGACTAGGGAGAATGAAAGGTTTCTGGGCAGAGGTCATATGTAGACAACAAATAATACTGGTAAGTGCCACTGGGGAGGAATTTCTTTTTCATTAAGCTAACTGACATTCTTTCATCAGTGTAGTTTATGATGTATCCAAGTCTGGATGCTTTAAAGTAAGGTACTCCATTTAATTTGGTGAAGATTTTTACTTTTTAAGACACTCCCAGCTTCCTTTTTTTTTTTTCTTTAATTTTCTTCCCCAACTCCACCTTGCCAGATGGAAAGAGTGAACTGAGCAGTACACCAGAGTTAATTTTTAGGAGACACCTGCTGTAAAACACCAGGGTGAGGTATGTACTTCAGTGCAGAAGATGAGCAGTTTAGTAAGTTCAGGTGCTGTTTACATGACACTCATGAAGTCCAGACAGAAGTCTGGCTGAGAGTGATATACAGTGATATTTCTTAGCCTCTTCCCCATGCTGCACTCTCCTGTCTCGCTTAGGAAAACAAGCTTTGTGGGAGTAAACTCAGGTCTTGCTTTTAATAACCACGTTTAATTGCCACCCATACAGATGACATCTCTCTTTAACAAAGGGCAGGTCTCTTATCAGAAGCTTCTACCTTTTAAAAATGTAAAAACATTTAAAAGTAAATGTATGGAAAAACTACTATGCCAACAGATAAGCACAGTAGCTGTCCTACTTTCATTTCTTTCTCGGTATTCATGTGAATTCATTCATCTGTCTTCTGTTCCTGTAAGACAGTGAACTTAAACTACAACAGATTTAGTTGAAAATGAGATCAGTATTACAGAATTTATTTTCTGAAAGTGTTCCAATATGTCTTATGGTAATTCAGTAAGATCAGTGATCAAAAGCAGGGTGTATGGGACCAAGATACTTTCTCAAACACCCTTCCCATAAATAGTTTCCTGTGCTGGTTTCATTTGCCTCTCCGATACGCTCAGAATGACATACTGTTTGATCAGTGGTGGTTAGAGTCAGTGCTTGCTGCAAAGAAAATGAACAATATACATGGATAGAAGCTGCATTTAAAGTTGAGTAGTTTGGGTCTGCAGCTATTGCTCTGTATATTGAAGATTCTCCTTACGTGAACAGGGCTGGTAGGTCACAATATGAGGTACGTTTTGAAATACAAATGGGCTGCTGCCATGAAAGAAACATTGCCCAACCAGCCTGGCCAAGTCAAGTTTGAAACCAAGCCACAGGCCTCTTATGCAAGAAAGTAAGACTTTGTGTAGTTTTCTGCCATAAGTGTTGACTTTCTTCTGATGTCATATATTTATTTTGGTCTTAGGATCTGAAAATGCTTGTGAAAAGACTTCATTTATGTTTCTGCGACAAGAGCTGCCTGTGAGATTGGCAAACATAATGAAGGAAATAAGTCTGCTTCCAGACAACCTCCTGAGAACACCTTCAGTTCAACTGGTTCAGAGCTGGTAAGAACAGTGACACTTCATACCTTCTGCATATACATAGGTCGGAGGAACTCATTCTTTTCTACTGAAAGAACATTTCATGGGCTTGTTACATGAACATCCCTTATATAAAGTGAGATACTAAATATCCAATGTGATATAGATCAGAAACTAAATTTACAGACTTGGAAAAAACTCTTTAGCAGCAATTAGAGAACCCATGAGGGTTCTCTAATTAAAAAATCATTGAGTATTGCAGACACTCATGTATGAGAATTCAAATCCACCAGAACAATGTTTAATAGGGGACTTACATAAAAATGAAGAGGCTAGTTGAAGAAACCAACAGAAGTAGGCTAAGGCCTGCAAAACATGCTTGCAAAAACATACTAGAAACCATTTACAAGACAGGTTATTGCATATTGATAGTAAAGATGTAGAAAATATGAAGAAAGCAATAGGAAGCTCCCAAAGCCAAAACATAAAACAATAGAAAGAATATGAAACTATTAAAGTAAAAAAGATATTCTTTGAAAAGTAACATTTACTTTCAGATAAGGAACTTACACATAAATATAAACTTGTTAAGATGAAAGCAAAACAAAGAGATTGCTTGGTAACAGCTAAAGGCACAAAGATATCTGGAAAGGCTTTTAAAGTTAAGAGAACAGAAAACCTGCCAGTGAATAAGTAGGATTGATTAGATGACTGAATATAAAAAGCTATCAATGAAGAGGAAGGCTCTTAATGAAACACAAATGCTTACATTCTCATGATAGTAAATGACATTGATCAAATGGGAAATGAATTCTACTTGGACAAATGCAAGGTAGAACACAGGGAGGACTCTCCTCTCCCTGTATAATTGCTTGCTTACAATGGAAAAAGAAATTTTGATGCTACTGGGAATATTTTTCCAAATATGTCAGTTGATGGACAAGAAGGAAAATTGTGTTAGGAACTAAGTAACAAATGGGGAGGAATACAATTGTACGACTGTGTTAGCCCTTTATTCCTCTGAATTGTATGCTGTTTTAGTCACTCTGTCCTAAACAGAAAAGACCAAGAGGGATAATCAGAGGGTTGGAACAATTTTTACGTGAGGAGAAACCAAATAGAATTCTTCAGCTTGAAAAATATGCATCTAAGGAATAGATGGCAGAAATACTTAATTCATGAATAAGCTGGAAAGATTTTTCTAATAACAGGAACTTGCTGGGGCTGCAAATAAGTGATCACCCACTGGGTTTAAAATACAAAGATGATCCTTTATGCATTCTAATTAAATTGTGGAGTTCATCGCTCTGGAAATTTTGGCAGAAATGTCATTAATAGATTCAAAAGAATCTAACAAAATTCATGGGGGACAGGTACTATGACATGGAAACAAGCAACCTTAGAAGACCACAAATTGCTAACCAAAGAGATCTGGGGAGGCATATTAGAATTGGTCTTTGTCCTTTTTCTTTCATTGAAAGGTATGTCCAAAGTCTTCAGGAGATCCTTGACTTTAAGGACAAAAGCTCAGAAGATTCAGGGACTATTCACAGGTAAGGATTTGCTGTCACATATGTTAATATTTTGTTAATATTATATGGAAGAACTGGCAAGAAAACAATAGGTTAAGAAAAATATCTCAGTCTTTACATAAGAATTGCAGTAATGTCACCCCCTGTTCCTAAAAGGAGGGTACAGGAAACCAGGAAACAGAACACTTTAACATCATGTTGTTCTGTAGAGAGGCTTTGGTTAGTGTTGGCTGACCATAAGTGCCATCTGAGAGACATGGGATGTTCTGCATGAAAACGGTGGCGCGGTTTTCTCTTTCTTGTGGCAGCAATCAAGATAATAAATAAATAAATAAATAAATGGTCATTTTATAAATAGTCAAAATAGTTGAATTGTTTCAATGCTAGTCCCCTAAAATACGCTGTAAAGTCTGACCAGTCTTCTTACTGCAATAGGCAGACCTGTAATATTTCTGAATGTAACAGTCTTCATTTTTGTAGGCAGGTACTCTGTTTGCCAGAGTATTAAATTCCCTTGAAACACTAACAGTGTATTAATTTTAGTTTTACAGATACCGTGATAAAAATCCGGAATCGGCACAATGATGTAATTCCTACGATGGCTCAAGGAGTAATAGAATACAAGGAGAGCTTTGGCATCGATCCAGTGACCTCGCAGAACGTGCAGTATTTTTTAGACCGTTTCTACATGAGTCGCATTTCAATCAGAATGCTCCTTAACCAGCACTGTGAGTGCCAGTGCTGAAAGGAGGGGAAATGATACCTGCACTATGTCAAGTGTATCTTCCTTTAATTTTTAAGTGCTTCGTAGGTACTTAAATGCTACTTATGAGTGCACTGTTTGCCTTGCTATTTATGAACTCAATTCAACTCCTAAAATATTTATTAATAGTAATCTTTCAAGTATGGTGAAGACTGGAAATATAGATTGCCTATAAAATTTTTATTTAGCATAGCTGAAGATGTAAACTAAAATTATAAAATTATACTGAGTATTAAATAATATTTTCTTTTTTGGCAGCTTTACTGTTTGGTGGGAAAATTAATCCAGCTCATCCAAAACACATTGGAAGCATCGATCCTAACTGCAATGTTGTTGAAGTTATTAGAGGTAAATTCAGCAGATAAGAACTAGAATCCTGAAAACTTACATGAATATCTGTACTAAGAGCAAATACACATCCTGATACTCATATACCGCTTAGTTCTTTTCTACCTGGAGTAGAAGTTTTATTTAAAGTGTAATGCAATTTGTATCTTTTTCCTATAAAGCCAGCTTCTGTCAGAAAATACAAAATCTCCCTGACAGTGCACAATACTTGCAATTTTTGTTTTTCTTTTTGGCAAACTGTAAAGGAAAAAAAAAAGTGGGAGGGGGAAATGTAACTTCCTCTGTTTTTATTATAGATGGCTATGAAAGTGCCAAGAGACTTTGTGATTTATATTACATGAGCTCTCCAGAACTTATCCTTGAAGAGCTGAACGGTAAGTGAATGTGGATGAGGCACCCTCCTGAACATCATGATGGCTTCTTCTAAAGTAGCTGGTGGTGGAATGTCCTCTTTCTGCCTTTCGTATAGTTAATGTGTTCTCTTGGATCTACTGTTGTAAATAGTTTGGGTTTTTAAAAATCTGGCAGAAGGCTTTCCCCATTCCTCCCTTTAATTGGAAAACTGAAATCAGTAGAAAAGTTTTTGACACTACAGCTGTTGATGTAACAAATTTTAGCAGCCTCCTTCCCTCTCTAAGATTTCTTGTATGTCTTCACCTACACTACTGCATCTCACCCTCTCTGCATTTCTTGTGACACTTAAAAGATTTATACCAAGCGTTCCATTCCATCTTCATTATAACCTCCTCAAGGGTTACAGAAAGCAACTATGATGTGCCCTGATCAGTGATGCCAAAGTGGTTTTAAGATTAATTTCTAAAGCAGCAAACAGCATTTGAAAATCTTGAGTGTGACTTTTGATTAACATCACCTTTTCAAAAGATTTCTGTTAAAATCTTCCTTCTTTCGAAAATTCAGCAATACAGATTCACATTTTGAACTACTGAGAGAACGAATAAAAGATATACCTCATTTGCCATTTAATTATTTAGACTCTCTTTTCTCCAGCTAAATCCCCAGGACAGCCCATGCAAGTGGTGTATGTGCCATCACACCTCTATCACATGGTTTTTGAACTTTTCAAGGTCTGTACACTTATTATGCAAGTCTTTTGTACATCTTTGTTTACTGAGATTGTATTGGTTTTACCTTTTGAATCAATTCTAGATAGCAGTGTGTTTTTGCAAGTGCAAACCTTGTGCTACTTGCAGGAACATTACTTAATTGTACTGTTTAGACAAACAGTAATTGAATAGAAAATGAACAGCTTTGGAAGATGTATCTCCTTTGCCTAGCCACTGAATACATCTGACACCTTCTGAACAGACAGTTCTTAAAATCTTAAAATATATGAAGATATTACTTAATAAAGCAAGTGAGAATAAGATACACAATTTTGGGGATATCTTCGAATCTGATAAAATGTGTAATAGGTCCTCCAGAGCTTCCCTCAAGCAGTTCAGTCCTAGACTTTTCTTGATCTTTGTGTCATATTGCATGTACGGTGCATTATAAAGAAATCTACAACAAAAACTCTGTAAGTTTAACTATTCAGATGTTTCCTTTAAAAAAAGTAAATATTTGAAGTCTGTGTATTTTAACAAACTATATAAATACTGATACTGAATAAACCAAAAATATAAAAAAAATTATTCTAAACCAATATACATTTTTTTCTGCTTCTGAAAATAGGTGATAAAAATAACTCCTAAAATGATGTTTTAAGGTAATATGCAAAGTGAATTAGGATTTAAGTTGTACTTGAAAATTGCAGAATGCAATGAGAGCCACCATGGAACATAACGCTGATCGATGCATTTATCCTGCAATTCACGTACATGTCACGTTGGGAAATGAGGATTTAACTGTGAAGGTACCCACTTTTTTTTTATTACTTTGAAGATTATTTTGATCAGGGTTTTTTCCCTGCCACAGGCAGCATATTATACTACCTGTAGCGAGTGATCTGGTTCCGTCAACAGACGGAACGTGATTATGTCTGTAAGTAAAAAGACCATTATGGCATTTCACGTGGTGCATTAGTAGGAAGTTCATGACGAGGTTGCACAGTCACACTGAAGGCTCTGCAATAGCATCCTGTGCTTTTGTCATGCCATGTTTTGCCTAGCTTGTAGGCAGCCATGACTAAAAATGAAGGAGCATCTTTATACAATTTTAACTAAGCATTTTTTAAGTGACAATGACAGAGCTATACAGGTGTGAAACAACTGAAAAACAAACAAAAAAAAATTGTATATTCCACACAAATCAAACCTCCTTAAGTACAGTTTGAAGTTTCTTCTTTTTCTGTACAATATTCATGTTGGATTTCAAATACCAACTGCAAGCATTGGGTTTTTCATAGGTCTTTAACTAAACTGTAGTAAAACAACTCCTTTGATTTACTCCTTCAGTAACAGGTTTTAGTAAACTATATTCAACTGGCAGTATTCCTGAGGAATAAAGATTAAAAATACAGAGAACCTGGTATTTTGTAAATAATATAGATACTGACCTCAGACAAAAGATAAAAGCCATGCACAATTTAAGTAAAATATTGTTGCTTCCAAGAGAACATGAATGATGCTTACAGTAGTATTTTGTTTAGTGGTTTGGATAAGGGATGAAAGGGAGGGATTGATCTCCCTCTAGTCATTGTTGGAGATGAGAACTAAAGAAGACCTGTAACTTAACAGGGACAACTTCATATTATGTTTTACCTGAACTTTCTCAGGTATTTTATTGTTTGAGAAAAGCTGTCTTTTATAAAATTGTATTCAGGGACATAACACTACATGCTCCTTCTTGTTCCAGATGAGTGATCGTGGTGGTGGAGTTCCTATGAGGAAAATTGACAGACTGTTCAACTACATGTATTCAACAGCACCACGTCCTCGTGTTGAGACTTCACGAGCTACACCTTTGGTATGCAACTCTTTCATATCTTGGCATCTTGGCTATGTTTAATGGTCACAAAAGAAACCATTTAGCCAAAGCTATGAAGTACTGATTTTATAGATACAATGAGTATTGCCGTTTGAATGTTATAGCTTAATTCGAGTATTTTTCTGAAAATAACTGGAAAAGTGCATAAAATACTAAAATTTATTCAAGATTCTGTTTTCCTCTACTACATCTAAAGATCAGCTACCTCAAGCAGAACACTTAGCTATGCTGCACGTACTGTAACGAGGACAGAACACTGAATTCTTTTTGTAGCCACTGAATGAACGGAAAAATAATTACAGCAATGACTTTGGGTCAAGGCCATAGTTCATTTGCACTGTGAGGTCAATTGTACCATCTCCCAGCAAGGATGAAGGAGCACACATGTGACAGGCCATTTGAAGAATTTACTTTGGTCTCATGTGAATGTAATAGATGCACAAGAAATAAAGCCTAAGCTCCCAGTCAGAATCTCTGAACAGCTTTCCTGTATTTATTCTCCCACATTGCATCAGTGATCAGTGTTCTGCACATAGATGAGTCTGCAACTCATTAAACACTAGATCTTTACAGAGAAGTGTTGTGTATGCTCATTGAGAGATCACCTCTAAAATTTAGAAAGTGAAAAAAAATCATGCCCAACACTTCAGGGCTGTGTCCTTCTACTGCAGTCAGGGCTTGACAGAATTTTAGTATAAGCTACAAATTCAGAGACATTTTGTCTTGAACCTTTTTTATATATACTGCTGATGAAATGTATCTGACTTAAGTCCTCAGTGTTCTTAAGATTAGTAGCTCCATGAGACATAAGTCAGACACAGTACAGTTTTCTGTAATGGTATCTCTTCTTCAAAAAGCTCCCACAATACAGGAAATGTTAACTACCAGCCCTGCCTGACAAAGGAATAAAACAGTTTTCTCATAATCACAATCATCCATGCATTCTTCTGGTTTTGGGATGTATAATAGTTCTGAGGGGCCATAATAATTAACATATAAACTCCTCTTACTGTCAAACATCATGCTTAGTTTGTCTGTTTACCTGTTAAGTTAAAGCAGAAAACACCACTGATGCAATTAATGGAAATATACCTTTTTTCCTGGATCAGGCTGGATTTGGTTATGGCTTACCCATATCACGTCTGTATGCACAGTACTTCCAAGGAGACCTGAAACTCTATTCCTTAGAGGGCTATGGTACAGATGCAGTTATTTACATCAAGGTATGATGTAACACTTTACCATTTACATTTATCAGCAAGTGTAATCTAAACTGCTAATGGAACTCCTTGTTCTGTTACTATAACTTCAGTTAAAAAGAATCATCAGTTACAGTCTTCTCTCCTTACAGGCCTTATCAACAGAATCAATTGAAAGACTCCCTGTGTATAACAAAGCAGCCTGGAAGCATTATAAAGCAAACCATGAAGCAGATGATTGGTGTGTGCCAAGCAGTGAGCCAAAGGACATGACCACTTTTCGCAGTATGTAGCTTTTTCCTTGGCAGCTCATAAGAAGTAGGTTTGTCTGTAAAGGCAATTTAAAAGACCTGATTTATACCAAGATGGTGACCAAGTTTGATATGTGAAAGTAATTTTAAGTGGAGTAATAGAAGGTGTAGTGTAATAGTCTTTTCTGAAATTAAAAAACCAACAACCACCAAAACTCCCAAACTTGTACATACTTTTAAATTTTAAGAACGTCACAATTTGTTTCATTTTCTGGTTTTGGTTACTTTAAGAGCTAAGTCAAGGGAGCAGTATTTCGGGTTTTATAGGGATCAGTGCAATCTCTAGCACATCTGGTATTAATTCATATAATTACAAAACTGTTTTAATGGAAAAACTATTGAAAAAGCTCACTGGAGCATTTTTCCATTATACAGTATTACAGATTAATGAGAAACTCGTGTAAGAAATATTGAGGAGCTTATTGCTATACCTTTGCACCCGTATGGCATTTGCTGTTCTTTTATCTTCAGCATGCTGAAGCCTAATTTAGCAAAGTAAGATATGTTGCCAGCACACCTTGCCTACATCAAGGGTTTTTTCACCCAGAGAAATCAGGCTTACCTCTGTAGGGATAAAAAATAAATAATAAAAAAATTTTAGCTGCAACTACTGGTATAATGTATCTCAGGTATGGGGCATCGGTCGAATTTCTTTTTTTGTAATGTGAATATATAATACATGTGAAAAGCTTATCTTTCCCTGATTATTGTGAATTAACAACTAATGCTGGCTTGTGTACAGTACAATGTTGTCTTGCATTTGCCTGTATTTCTGTAGGTCCTACCAAAACGCAGCATCAGCGTTCTAGTCCTCGTAAGTTCTCAGACTTGAAATTGTCAGGTTACAGCTGTAAAAGGAAACTATTTTAATAAACAGATTTTTTAAAATTTGCCCTTCATAGGGCATCTCTATTACTTTGACAATATAAGCTACCTTCTCAGGAGTATTTAAAAAAAAGTGGAATTAACAGTTTTTGAAAGTACCTGTATTTGTGATGTGCTTCTGGTCTCATTTTTGTAGTAACTGGAAGTCACACTGTAACTTAAACATGGTGAGCAGAATGTGTATCAGTCAAACTGTCAAAACATACTGGGGAAGATAGAGAGGGGACTGAATATTACATTTCAGGTACAAACTCCTCCTTTTAAGAAAGGATTCAACTTTTTTTAATGCCTACTGTGCCAGCTTTGTTCAAATCATACACATGGATGTTGCACCTCGATCCCTGTAATTCCTGAATGTTTTAAGAGTGATGCAGTTAACGCCACTGAGAACTAATCCTTTTCTCAGTTAATTAGCTGCATGTAATTCTGTGATTTTTGTTCTGCAGTAGACATGCATAATCCCTCTCAGAAAGAATAAGCCTAAATTTTGCAAGTTTACTATCTCTGTGCAGAGCAGAAGGTGAGATACTGCAAACGAAGGGCATAGCTGGTACATCAGAAATTGTTCTGGCTGTAGCTGAGCCAGATTGGAGATTTCCACCTGCTATCTCCCTAGCTGAGTTCTGCAAAACAGTGAAATGGTTTTATACCCTGGTCAAGCTAATGTAGAGCACTTTATCTGGAGTGAATTACAGACTGCTCTATATACACAGTCTGAGGGAGGACTATTCTAGCTTAATTGGCACCACAACAGTAGCGTTACCTGCTCCACTCAAGCCTGTGGGCATCTTGAGGCCCCTGCTTTTCTTTCTTACAAGGATGTGAGAGATGGTGACTGGCACACCTTTTAATCTGCTTGGCTACAAGTGAGGAGAATCTAGAGCTGTTCTCTTCTTTGGCCCTGCAAGAGGATGTACGTGAGAAATGCCACACATGGTAAAATGGGGCCTGGAGGGGACACTTGCAGCTACTGCTTTTGCTAAACTAAAGCTGAAAGTTACAGCAAGGACTTTTAAAAATTCAGATTTGAAGCTGAGTATTCTTGCTTTTATGCTAAGTTTTACATCTTTTAATTAATTCAGTTGAACTGATTTTAGTAATAGCTGAGAACTGCAAGAGATGTTTCTGAAGAAAAGCTAACAGTTTGTTTTCTACAAAGTCTATTAAATATTTCAGATATTATTGAAATAAAGCCTCTGAGTTAGCTCTCAACTAACTACCAATTGTATTCTGATTATTAGAAACTTGCTGTGTAATTATATTTGTATTTATCTCTTCACCTGACACCCCAAATGACTGTGGTGAAAACACAAATGTTTTACTTTGGTTTACAATGTTTAACCCTACTTACAAGCATGGTCTTAGACAACTTTTGGTTTAAACAGAAGTTCAGAAGACAACTTTCATGTTTAGTATTTCCATTACTATACTGAAGTAATTGCTAGCACATTGGTTAAGTTGAACTGAATCACTGTAGAAAATTAGTATACTAGCTCAGCTATCGAAATGCTGAGATTAATAGTTTTGTATGCAAATGGACTCAGTCTTGCACTGTAAAATTAATCTTGGTTTGTGTTAATTTTTTTGAAAGAATCACTACATTTATTCATTAAAACTGTTGTAAAAATTAAACTCTGTTGGGTGATTATGTAGCTTGGTACTAAGCTCGTTCCATGCAGCCTTCTTGTTCCACATCTGACAGATGTTAAATGCGTTGGTCTGTGATGACCAATGTTCTTATGCCCAGGTGCCAGGTGAGTTTATCATCCCTGCCATGGCCCCTGTTTAACTACAACAGCTCTGAAACCATTATTTCCACTAGTCTCCTTCATGGGACAACTCTTCACAGGGTGCAACAGTAGGCTCAAAGGAAAAAAGGTAATACATGGTTGCATCAATATTCTGTGTTCTATCTGAAAGCACTCGACCTTCTTGACTGATTGAATTGAAGGGTGGTTTTACATGTGTGATCCTGAGCATTTGACGATTCTGTACTTCTAATTCCTTCCTCTTTTACCAGTAGGGCAGCATTCCTCTCTGGCTCAAGGTCTCTAAGTCTGCCATACAACTCAAAGCTACTGAAAACAAAGTAAAACAAAGTAAATAAGTTAATTGACCAAAGAGTAGTTTCTTAATGCATCAAACTGAAATATAACCTCTTTGAAAAAGTAATTATTACTGAGATTTTCAAACTTTATTTTGGAAATGCCTAGTGTGCACAAGCATTTCCATACAGTCATTTTGCTGAAATTCTTAGACATTTTTACAAAAAAAAAAAAAAAGAATGTGAAACACCAATAATGAAGTTCATTCATTTAATTAAAATGAAAAACAGTCCACAGATTTAAAGGAGAACTTGGTCCACAGAAACAAACTATGTAAGTTTTGTTCTAGTCCCTTCTAGGGTGGAACTGATATTTAAACTAGTCTATGTTTCTGGAATTATCTAATTTAAGGAAGTGCTCTTTGTAGTATCTCTAGAAAATAGTATGTAAATATACAAAACACCAATTCATGTTCTAAGCTATTTTGAGAATCAAATCCTCCTTTAAAGAGAAAAAATCTGTAGTCTACAATTGAACATTTAAATACAAGGCAAAACCCCAGTGTGTCAGTGATAATTTTTCCTACAATTCTTCCCTCAGTATTTTAAGTTTGAAAAACAGTATCGTTTAAAATTAGCAAATATATAAATTTGGTCCGCAAAAATCTTGTAGCAGGTAGAAAAGAGAAATACATGTATTGCAAATTGATCTTATTCATAGCATAAATCTATAAAACTATGTATTATTTAGGAAAAATAGGTTAAAAATGATCTTATTTATAGGTTTAAACCTTGTCCCAACACCATACGGGTAGCGTACAGAAAATTTAATATTATGCTTAGGATATGTAGTTTGTGAAAACTACTTAGTATTTCTTGTTATTTTCTCAGTAAATTGCAACACAGAATTCAAAACCAATGTACTACTAAAGTGAACTTTGAATGAAGTCCCAGAAATACAAGAATTTAAACAAAATAATCCATAAATTTGAAATACATGCTTTCTTTTTAAATTAATATGACATTACCATTTTCTTAAACTTAATTTTTACTATACATCTTTAGTGGCAACAGATAACAGACTGTCACAGACTGAATTTGTTGGCAGGATTTTTCTATTGTCCCTCTATCAGATTCAACTCTATCAAATGCTAGTTGACTACTATTGGAATGATTTTAATACAGTATTCTACTTTCCACAAACATCAATTTCAATGAAAAGGGCATAAGAGGTCTTAGAAGCAGAAATGTTACTTAAGGCAGAAAGTTAAATTATTGTCTATTAGTACAGGCAGAGTCAACTAGGAATAAAAATACTGAAAACATTATTTCATTTTATTGGGCTGTAATGGGGAGGGACCACAATTAAAAAGTAAAAAACCACCTACCATATTAAACTGTTGCACTTTCCCTCCTCCCTCAATTGTACAATTATATACAAATCTGCTGAACTACATCAAGATTAGGCAAGTCTGCACTAAAACAAAATGGTCATTTTAGCAGCTTGATTCAAGAGTGGCCACCACTCTGCCAGTCTTGCGAACTTCCTTCTCCTTCTTTTGAACCTTTTCCTTCTGCTTTTCCAGTTTTTCCTGTGTTTTTCTAATATCCTTAATTTTTTTCTTTATTGTTGATCTGTCATTTTGACTGGAAACTCCCAAAGCCTTTGGAGGGGGAAACAAAACAAAACCTCATCAGTAATTTTTTCCAGTGGTACTTTCCACAGTGCTTGAGCATGAACAATTTAAGAAAGTGTAATTGCTGCAAGATAGTCTGTTTATTTGAAAATAATGACTCAGGCTTCAAAAGCATTGTAAATAATCATCTGAGTAACAAGGTAAGTAAAGAGACTAGGGCCGACTCTTCAGTTGTGAAATAACAGTTTTGCATTTTACAAACATGTACACCCCTGAGAATTTCCAGAAAATAGCATAGTAAGTAGTAGTCTCAAAATACAAGAGGAATTTATATTCAGTAACTACTCTTTAATTTCAATATTAAGGATTTTAAAGTGTGTTATTAGGAAGTGATTCAGTAAGCAGCCAGTACACTTCAATGTTCGATCAGGAGGTGGCAGCAGCTGATTCCACGTTCCTGACTGCACTCACACTCTGTCAACCCGAATGGCATTCGGTGCACATTGACCATTAGGCTTCAATATCGAAAGTTCCCCAAATAAAGACAGTCATTTAACAGGCCAATCACTGGTATTTCTTCTGAGTCCAGGAAATTTTACAAAATACGGGACATTTAGCATTGCACATCTATTTAAAGTGCAGGTATGTTTTGGAGACTAAGTTAGATGCATTTTTCCCCCTAAACCCCTCAAATTCTACTTTTGGTTATTAATAATAATGTCCCTTAAGCCAGAATAGACCAATGAACCTCTCTTAGTCACACATCTTGCTTGTCCAAAATGCAGTCTGATAATCTAACAAGAGAGAAAAACCGAAGAGTTTACTAGCACTGTAAGGAGTACATATTACCATGCAGCTTTCAGATGTGAAATAGCAAGAAAAGGCTCAAAAGATTTAGAATACATATTTTCAGCAGGAGTAAAAACCTGAAAAATTTAAAAGATCACTGGATAGGATTTTAGCCTTCCCTTTTGAAGAGGATATGTGGAAATAACAGGTTTCTAAAACAGGATCCTGCAATTCTATGCATTTGAATTGGCCGGATCTTGTTTTGATATGACCTTATGTTGAGATGGATGACAGATGAATCAAGACCCTTTGGACAGTTATGCCTAATTTCATTTCCTCAAGATGCAAACAAGGAAACAATATCTGTTATTTTTCTGTTCATAAACAGCTTGTCTTTAATTCTACAATTACTAATTACCATCTAACTGTATAGTCTTGTATAGTCCAAGTATTTCAAAAGCAAGTAACTCTAAATAAATAACTCCCTTAAAAAGCCATGAAAACAAGAAAATACTTTGTGTTTAGAACTATGTCTGAATAAGCAGTGGAACTTATGTGGTTACAAATATATCCTGGTATATTCACTTACCTTTAACTTCTCGCTGTCGAGCTGCATTAATTGCTGTCCATCTACATTCATAGCTGTGAACTCTGTAATATACTGCTCCATGTTCATTCCCATTAACCAGTGGCATACTTGCTGGGTGGTCCATTCAGAAATAGGTCTACTGTGCCATTGATTTTGCTTTCCTGTTGTTGCAAATTCGTCATCTAATGCCTAACCAATTGAGAAAAGTCACTATAAGCAATGTTTTACTTGACTATATGTTGAATCCCAGTTGCTAGTTGAGTTTGATTAACAAAATGCATTTTTAAACCTACTCTATTCCAGAAGGACTTAAGTTCTTGAGATCAGTTTACAGTCAGCTTGCCTAGGAGTTTACTATAAACAAAAAGACTACAGCATTCAACACAAAGTCAGTCAGAAATAGACAACATAAAGGTTTTTCTTTAAGAAATTATATAGCAAAACATTAGCTTTAGTTGGATGTATCCTAACAGTGAACACACTGCTCACTTAGTTGGTTAAAGGAGCTCAATCCTAGTGTTAGATAGTACCTTGCACAGCATGAAGAATCATCAAGTAGCACTTCAACTCTATTATTTGTTATTGTTAAGTGACGGAAGTCCAGTAGTCAGTAAATCTGGTGACTGTTCCAGGCATAGTTTTACTACATTTCTAAAAGAGAGGACTGTTCATTCTTTCAACTAATGCTATCACATCAACATTTTAAAGGGTCTAGTGGAAAATGACCATTTCAGAAACACAAGCGCTTGTAGCCTTCCACTGAAAATACACTTTGCCAGCTCACAGAGCTTTTGAAGCACACTGCTTCAGTTTGCTTCTGAGGGGAAAAGGTACTGCTATTTGCCCTAAAGCATTACTATATCACAAAAGAAAATCTACTTAAAACAGAGCTCAATGTCTTTACAGAAGAAATTTGAGTGTGGTACTTGAATCAGTAACATCAGTTACCTAAAGTTTTATTAACTATCCAAAATGATCCCTCACTAGCTCGTGATTGAGTATAGGCTGCATTAGACTTGCATATGCTCCACTAGGCAACTTCCATGATTGATCAAAGATATTTCCAAAACAGCTCCCTTTTCCCAGGGAGCCTTACACATCATTTGTAAACAGAAAACCTGGAAATAAGCAACTTCTAGTCATGGATTTAAGACGTGACCCTGAAAGTCTCAGGTGAACAACTACAGCTCCCAGCCACAAGGATCTCACAAAATCCAGCTTATTTGATGGAATATCTGGGGGAGTTGACTGAATGTAACAAAATAATTCAGGTGACTGCAAGTCAAAGATGGTGAGATGCAGGCCTGTGATGTGACCTGATCATACAGGACACTGGACCTGAGTGCTCAGCATGGCAGGCACCGGGAGTCTGAGGTGAAACAAAATTTTAAAATTTCCTATGTATTGAAGGATCACATGTAATCAGAAATGGTTCTGCTTCCCCTGGTCTGTGAAACAAAGGACAGTGGTTACATGAGGAGACAGTGCAGATAAATAGGAACAAATCTGTAGAGCAGAACATTTTGTGCTGAGGTTCTAAAATCTGTACTTACAAGCATTTCAAAGCATTTTC